CATCTCTTGTTGAAGAAATTGAAGAAGTTGAAGAAGCATCAGTAATATTAGTACTTATTATTTAATGAATTGTACAACTGTAAATTGTTACTTTTTTACTCATTATTAATAATATAGGTCACATGACCATTAATCTGTTATTAAAAATTGAATAAATATCATATCAAGAAGAATTTTATTATCATTAAACCATTTTTAGACCTCAATCCATTAGTATTCATTAAATGGAGGCATACTAATTGAGATTCACTGTGTAATATAAATTTGAAATATCAAATTAAAAATATAAATTTAATATGATGTTAAAAAATTTTTAGGAATCCAGTTTGGTTCAAATCAATTCAAATCGAGTCATGAATCAAATCAAATTGAATTGAATCCTGTTTTTTTGAATTCGAATTGAATCAAATTGACTACAGATTGAATTGAATCAAACCGAATCACTCTCAAATTCAATTCAATTCAATTCAATTCAATCAGAGCCTTACACTCCTTTATTAACAATATATAATTATAGTAGTGGTATATTATAATAAACATAAAAAAATAATATGACAACTTCTCACTGGGATGATATAAATGATTTTCTTGAACCATCTTATAATTATGAACTTGATGCTGAAAATGTTTCTTTGTTAAATAGAGATGAAATTAGTTCTTCGATTAAAAAAAAGGTGGTAGAAGGCTTGATGATATCTGGGAATATGTGAATAAAGGAGAACCATTAGGTGGTGGTCACTATAAAGCATCATGCAAGTGGTGTGGAGGAGGGTGGACAAGAGGAAGACTGCAAGACATGAAAGTGCATTTAGCAAGAATCTGTGAAGATGTCCCAGAAAATATAAAAATCTTATGGCATAATTATTTAGCCAAAAACACTTCATCTAATACTAAAAATAAACAAACCAATTATTACCAGTCATTTCCATTCTAATACTCCAATTTTGTCTGCAAAAGCCCATTTATTGGATCAAGCCATTCTAAAAGTTTGGATTTGTTGTGGTTTTGCTTTCCATACCATAGAAAATCCTTTTATAATTGATTTATTTCAAATTGCTGCACCTGTACAATTTGCCATCCAGGGAAAAATTACCTGGATTTCTTTTGGAGTCAGAAGCTGCACAGATAGAACAAAAAGTTGAGTTTGAGCTTGATAATGAAGAAAATCTTACATTGAGTATAGGTGTTGATGGAGATTTAAATAGTAATAAAACTTTAAAAAATGAAAGAGTTGTTAATAAGGTATATGGTGATTTAAAACATGTGTCTAAAAATATTCATGCAAAATCTGCAAAAATAATAAATGGTGTACCTTTGAACAGCCAATTATGAAATATTTTTGTAGTTGTGTGTATGTTGCAGCTACAAGAAAAGCATCAGATGAAATAGAAACTCCAACAGATGAGGAATTGATGAATGTACAAGTAAATGGTTTGGTTGTACATCTTTCAGGTGATCACTCTCTTTGTTGGCCTGAGGTGTGTTGGTTGAAGGACAACCCAGAATTGGAGCTTGTTGAACCTAATTTATTAAAACATACAAATTCTGAGAAAGAAGACCTTAGAAGAATATTGAAACTATATTTTACTTCACCAACAAGACAAAGTCTGGTAACTGAAATTTGAACTTCTTATAATGAGTCATTGAATTGAAAAAAATTGAAAACTTTAGATAAAAAGATAGATTTTTGGGCATCATTCAAGGCATGCCATGCTGTTGCAATTTTAGAACATAATGAGGGTATATTAGAATTGATTGAGATTGCAAGAAAAATAAAAGGACTTCCAATCCTTTCAGAAAATGATATTAAAAATATAGAAAAAATTGCACTTACACATGACACCCAAAGATCTAGAAATTTACAAAATATTCATGGAAGGAATGCTGCCAGAGAAAACAGTTAGAAGCCTTCAACTATGATCAAGACCTAGTACCTTATGGAAAGGAATTTTATTCAGCAAGAAAATCTTAGACCTTCATTTTCTCATTTGATTCAGGATTCTTCAAAAGGATTACGCAAAACTTGCACTTTTTATTTTGAAAATAAGATGATCCACAACTTGCCTTTTAAATCAAATATATCAGATCAATTAACAAGTAATAGACAGGTTCAGAAAATTGACCAGGTGAATTTAATCCAATCTGCACTATCCATAATCTATCAGTATCCAAAATTTAGAGAACTTCAAGAGGAAGGCATAAAATCATTTGTTCCTAATAATGACACAATGATTTTATTACCTACTGGTGGTGGCAAAACATTATGTTATTCTATTTCTGCATTAATTGGAAAAGGTTTAACTGTGGTATTTTCTCCATTAAAGGCTTTAATTGATGATCAATTGGTAAAATAAATGTTACTATTAATGCATTTTATTAAAAAATAAAAAAAATAAAATATTAATGATTTCTTATCTCATTAGGCCAAAGCCATTCTTGCTGGCATTCCAAGTGCTGGGATATATGCTACAACAGGACAGTCATCAGGATATCAATCTAAAGTATTTGAAGAAATTGCAGCAAGATTTACTAAAATACTTTTTGTAACTGCTGAAAAATTCAACCTGAATCCAAGCTTTAGGGCAATGTTAAAAAGAATTTATGAACAACAAGGACTTTGCTTTGTAATAGATGAGGCACACTGCATAGTAGCATATGAAAATTTCAGGTAATATAAATTTAATAAAATTTTATATTAAATAAAAATTAAATGAAAATCTGACATATTCACTATAGAAAATCCTTGGTCAATTGAAACAACATTTTCCTAATGCACCAATAATGTTGCTCTCAGCAACATGTTCTGCTCAAGATGTTAATCGAATTTGTGAATCACTTCAAATTTCATTGAAATAAAAGTTTTGCTCAACCAGAAATTAGAATTGAAGTACAACTAAAAGGACAAAAACAAAAATTACTGTTGGAAATTATAGATTTAATTGAAGATGTAATTGAGGGAAAGGTTATAATATACTGTGCTACTCCACATAGTTGTGAAGAAATTTATGATGAACTTGCCAAAAAACTTGCACCTGATTCTCTAAGTATGTACCATGGAAACATTGATGGAACTTCTAAAAAGCAAGTGATTCAAGAATAGAAGAAGAACCAATATAAAGTGATGATTGCTACAAATGCTTTTGGATTGGGAATTAATACTCCAGATGTTTGAATTGTTATTCATGTTACATTTCCGCTTAATTTAGGTAAATATATTTATTATATTAATGTAAAGAAAATATATTAATTTTTTTTCAACAAAGGAAACATGATACAAGAAATAGGAAGAGCAGCATGAGATCATTACCCTGTAAAATCCATTTTCTTTTATTCTCAAAATGACCTTTGAAGTGTATATTCTATTGTAACAAATAAAAGAGAAAGGTAATTATTAATAATATCATTACTCCAAAATCAGCTAACTTACTTTCAATTTACCTTTTAATATTTAGCTCAACAACTATCTTAAATATACAAAATGAGGAGAATGAAGAAAGGATATACCATCTATTAGACCAACAGAAAAAAATCAATGAGGCAATATTTTATTGTGAAGAAATGTATATTTGCTGCCACCAATTATTATGTAGTTACTATGCTTGGCCTGGAGACTTAATTCCCCAATCATGTAATAATTGTGACAATTGTTTACACCAACTTAAAGTCAAACCCACACTTTGTGAAATTAGTGATGATGTTAATAAAATGCTGGAGGTTGTGGAAGCTGTAACTGATTTCTTGAATAACCACCAAAAAGAGGTCTCTTGTCAAGATATTATTTATGTTTTTTGTCAGGCAAAAAATAAGTCAGTGAAAGAAAAAGGATTTTCGGAATTACAAATATACAAAGTAATTTACCTCAAAAAATAAAAAAGCAAGATGATGCATTACATTTATTAGACTGGCTAATAATAGAAGGATTGGTTATAAGTGAAATAGTTCTACGAAAACTTAATCTTAATTTTTCAAATTTAACTTCTATATAGCTTGATTATTTATGGCCTCAAAGATGGTGCTGTTGTTGAAGCTAAATCAAAAGGATGGAATTATTTATTAAAAAATTGATTGTTATAGAATTATTTTATTATTACGTTTATTTTAATGTGTGACATAAGAAAATGATCGTCACTGTCTAAAAAATTTATCCTTTCAGTTGCTAGGGGTAGGGGGGTTCAATACGAATGTTACACACTATGATTTCGCAAAACCAAAACTGTCCACTATATTAAT